GGTTAATGGAGATCAGAATCTCCTGGATTTTTCTGCCCAGGCTGGATTCAAACTATGATCCTCAGATATCAGCCTCCTGAGTAGCTAGGATTATAGGTAATAGTCAGCTGGAGCACAACTTCAGTGTTGTTTTGATCTGCATTTTTTTTTTTTTTGGTTGTGGGGCTTGAACTCTGGGCCTGGGTGTTGTCCCGCAACTCTTCAGCTCAAAGCTATTGCTCTACCACTTGAACCACAGCACCATTTTCTGGCTTTTTCTGAGTAGTTTATTGGAGATAAGAGTCTCATGAACTTTCCTGCCCAGGCTGGCTTCAAACTGTGATCCTTGGATCTCAGCCTGCTAAGTACTTAGGACTAAAGGAGTGAGCCACTAATACCCAGCTAGTGTGAATTTTTTTTATTGTGAAAATACTGTACAGAAGGGTTACAATTACATGGGCAAGGTAATGAGTACATTTCTTATCAAGCATTGTTGCCTCCTCCTTTGTTTCGCCTTCCCATCCCCCCCATCCCCACCCCACCTCCAAATTTTGTTTTTAAAGTAAAAAATAAAATAAATTAGATATTAAGTGGATATATAGGGCATATCAAAGGGAAAACAGAAATTTTATAAGAAATGAGATAAAATATATATATATATTTAAACTAATCAATCTGGTTTTAAAATGGACAAAAAGAGAAAAACGAGAAAAAAATAAAAGCATTAGTTTTTGCTAAGCAAAGGACAGGTTTCTGGTCCTCTAAGTATTACAACAGTCTGGTCTCAGTGCTCTGCCCACTGGCTTTTTTCCCTCTGGCTTTGGTGGCCTGCTTCCCAACAGGAAAGGTTTGCTAGCTGCCTTCCTGTTTCCTTTGAGTTGTTTTGCCTAGCAACCTAAAGGCCTGTTTGGGGCTAGGTGGCAGTTATTGCTTCTAAAACTGCAGGAGCATACTGGAGGAGATTTCTCCAGGCAGGTCCTAATCTCTGGGGCTTCAAGTGCCTCCTGCTTGGGAGAAGTAGAGAGTATGCAAGGGTCCCCAGGCCCTGTCCTCCCCACCATTCAGAGGGTAATTCATTGGCTTCTATCTACTATGTGAGTCCAAGTTATTTGGCCCCATGTCTCTGACTCAGACTTCCCTCAGCAGGTAGGCCAGCTTTCCCAGCCGGCTCTCGGTGGACCAGGGTCTGAATCTTGTTGTATGCTCCCAGAGACTGGACAATACATGGCTCCCACCATCTTGCTGTGACCAAATGCTGGAGAGAAAGGAGAATTTTCCTCTTGCCTATGTCTCTGCAGTTTCCAACTTTGCCTGGCTAGACTTCAAATCTGCATAGGATTGGGTCCAGGGTTAATTGTATTCTGTGTGTGTGTGTGTGTGTGTGTGTGTGAGCTCTGTACTAGGGCTTAAACTCAGGACATCAAGATCTTGATTGGCTTTTCACTCACAGCTGGTACTCTACCACATGAGCCATGCCTCCAGTTCCAGTTTTTTGCTAGTTAATTGGAAATAAGAGTTTCTTGGGGGCTGGGATGTAGCTCAGTGGCAAAGCGCTTGCCTAGCAAGCGTAACGTCCTGGGTTCGATCCCCAGTACCAAAAAAGAAAAGACAAAAAAAATACAGTTAAAAAAGAAGAGTTTCTTGGTTTTCTCTGCTCTTCAATCCTCACATCTCAGCCTCCTGAGTAACTAGGATTATAGGCACAAGTCCTGTTTTCTGAGTTTTTGCATCTCACTTTTACCCAGAACTTGCACACTTTTTAAAAAAATTCTTCTACACCCACTTTATCCATTTTGCTTTCCAATGCTCTTGTTTTCTTTTCCTTGAGGGGAGGGACTGATGGTTCCTGGTTTTAAATTCACCACCTTGCTCTTGTTGGGCAAGTACTCTGCCACTTCAGCCATGCCCCATTCCTTTTGCTATTTTTACTTTGTTTTTCAGATAGAGTCTTTTTTTTTTTTCTGGGGCCAATCTCAGACTAAGATCCTCCTATCTCTGCCTCCTTCATAGCGGAGATTACTGACATATGTCATAATGCCTGCTTCCCACTCCTATTTTAAATAAGGTTCTGTCTGATCACAGTCCATTTTCTAAAACTGCCTTTTTTCATTCTTTCTGTTGCCTCTTTGGATGTGTACCTTCTGCCAGGCTGGGCTCTCTGCCCATTGGAGCATCCTTCTGTTCAGCTTGCCAAAGTTGTCCATCTTCCTTATTAAAAGCTGCCTCTGCCCACTACTGAACCTTCAGTGCACTATCCCTCTCATCCACCTGGAAAATGAGTTGTTCTTCAGTTGCTCCCTTCCCTAGAGATGCTAGGTAGGTCGGCCATCTTCACCAGATGTTTTCTAGTGAGCTCAAACACCAAATTGCACATGAAGATATGCATGCAAGTACAAAGCATAGCATCTATGATATTCAGACTTGTCTTGGATACTATTCTTTGTCAGATATTGAGTTTTTCTTCTGTAAGAAACCCTGCCTCCAGCCAGATGAGAACCGTATAGGTTTGGCTCTCCTTTGTATAGAATTCACAAACACCTGGTTTGAGTCAAAAATGTGGCTCACTTGGACCAGCCAACAAATCATAAAGCAAAGATGGAACCTAGGGCAATCAGATCTCCAGGTAGACTCTCCCTTCTCTGTTCTAACCCTGTCCTTTAAGATGCCAATTACTTATTCCCCTCTAAGCAACCTCAGGACTTCTAATGCAGAAGTGTTTTCCTCCTGAGGACCTAGGAAGGCAAGAAAAATGCATATCTATGAGGCAATTCTTTGTAAAAGTCTATTAATTACAAAAAGCACGAAGGACTGCCTCTCATGTACTGTTGCTCTTCCAAACTTGGTTAGTATTTATCAAGTGCCTTATTGCTATGGGCCTATGACCAGGGGGAAGATCTTAGCAACTTCTGAAATTAGATGTGTGAACTTCCAGTAGAAGACAGAACCATTCAACAAAATTCTGTCCCTAACCATCCCCTCAATCCAGTATCACACTTCATCAAATATAAGATGCCACTAATTGTAGAATCTATCATGATTTTATTTAATCTCAGGTATCCACTGATTAAAGACACACCTTAGTTTCAGAGCTAAGCAGGCCACACAGTCAAGGACAGTGGGGTAGCCCCTTCCCTTCCCATTGGGGCTAAGAAAGACCATGTGTGGAATGAAGGTAGAGGTAGCTGTTCCTTTAAGAGGAGGCCTGGGGTGGGTGAGAGGCAGACCAGGTAGGCAACTCATACCTAGTACTTGTCTTGCTTCTTTCCCCCATTTCCCCTTAACTTTTGGAGAAAACTGATGATCTTTATAAACATCAGATGGTAGTAGCTAAACCTTCATCGAGTGCCTATTGCATGGCAGGTAACATGTTAGGTGCTGCATATGTCACAGACATTCACTGCATCACCACTCCGGCTCAGTGAGAATGATCACATGGCCCAGGGGCACATATCTAGCTAGCTAAGCAGACAGAGCTTCTACTCATTCACCTTGTAAGAGATGAGAGGTATGTGACAGAATCCTGAGTTCCCTGGGGAGAGGGAAAGGCCACACAGGTGGAATAATCCCAGCCAACCACTTGCTCATACCTGTGATCCTAGCTACTTGGGAGGCTGAGACTTGAGGATCAAAGTTCGAAGACTGCCCCAGGAAAAAAGTCCATGAGAGAGACTCTTAGCTCCAATTAACTTTCTCCACCCCCTCAAAAAAGCCAGAAGTGGTGATGTGGCTCAAGTGGTAGAACACTAGCCTTGAGGGAAAAAAAAAAACAACTCAGGGACAGTGCCCAGGTCTTGAGTTCAAGCTCCAGTACCAACACAACAGACAAACAAAACTCCAGGTAGAAAAGCGGTGAACCCAGCCCAGGGTGTGCTCCCGGGGAACTCTCTCTGTCCTCTTCTATAGCCCCCACTTAGACCTGAAGGTGGGAAGAAGGGCCTTAAAGGAAGGGTAGGAGCAACAAAGTGAGGAGAAGGGGAAGTGTGAGCAAGGCAAGCCATTTGCAAGGAGAGGCTGGCCAACACCTGAGGAATGAGGGAAGAGTCAATCAAAGGTACACTTGGGGGTGAAAGTGGGGGTGGCAGCAAGAAAGTGATGAGCCAGGAAGTTTCGGGCAATGTGCAGACCTCCACAAGGAATTTGCATAATGACAGGAAAATCACCCTTTTGGAATTTGTGGTGGCAGCCGTCTAGTATTGAAACAGTATCCTATAATTTGTCCCCTTTTCCAAGGAGAATCGACAGTGAGTCGCACAAGGATCTGGAAAGTGAACCAAGTGTTTTCCAGGCCCTAAAACCTTCTGTCCTTTGTTGCAGGGGGAGCCAGGGAACCCCATGATGTGCCAGCTCCAGGAGTTTGATCTGTGGGTCTTGAGAGGACTCTTGACTCCAGGAGGTGACCAGTGTCCCGGCCTATTCCTGTATACCAAAGTGGAAGATTACAGCGACTGGATCATGTCCAAGGCTAGGAAGGCTGGCCCTTCCCTGTTTTCACTCCACCCCTGGGAGAAGTTGATCCCAGCAACCTACCACCAGCCATCGGCCCTTTTCCCCCTGAGCACTTATCCTGCACCGCACCCCATGGCCTGGTCCCACTCCCAAGAACCGGACAGGACCACTGTGCACTTAGTGCCAGCAAACGGCTCTGGAGATTCCAGTCAAGCCTTCAAGGTGAAGGGGATCCAGGATGCAGACAGACATTCCGAGGGAGCCTCTCAACCCGTGTACTATGACTACTATGGTGGTGAGGCTGGGGAGGAGACTACTGCAGGTCAGAGTAGGCTGCGTCAGCCCCAAGCAATGAGCTTCGTTTTCTTCGTGCTCGTTTTCTTTGGCAGCGGTGCCTAGTCTAGCTAACCCACCACCACATGGAAGAGGAAGCTCGGAGCACTGAGTGCCAGGCATTCACCAGGCCCTTTTGGTGTCTGTTTTTGATAGGTGCTCACCTGGGCTGCCAAGGATTGGCACGCACCATGGGGCTGGGGCTGGCTCTCCTGTCTCACTCCTACTTTGGAAGGCCACTTTCATTTGTCCGTGTGAACTAAATGTGTGGGCTAACAAGTGTCAAACCATTCCAGTGCCCTGTGGTTCTTTCAATGGGAAATAGTTCCTGGGGCCAGGCTGCAAAGATACTTTCCATGGGTACTCGTAGCCCCGGAGGAGGTGATCGGCCTGGCTTGGGGAGTTGGGGACACCAGTTAGCACAGAGAACAGTCAGATGACCCTATGACTAGAAAAGCACTGAGTGCTTTAATGGATCACTTGATCTGCAAGCTATTCCTTTCCTACCTCCCCCGCCCCCACCGCTGCCTCCATACCCCCCCCATCCCTATTTTGCAGGAGGGCCTGTCGCCTGCATCTGCTCAGTGCTGGTTTTCATTTTATTCCAAGCCTTGCGATAGCCTTTTAAGGATATCTGTAAAACACACAAAGTGGGGAGAAGGAGAGAAAACCTGAGTAAACTCAGTGTGCCTATTTCTAATGCATCTACTTCTAGCCCCGCAGAGGGTACAGATGACGCGGGCTGGGGGTGGGTGGGGGAGACAGCTGGGTAGAGGCTCCCAGGGGTCAGCTCCCACCCCAAACCTAAACCACATTGCCAGTTCCTGCAGCCTCTGGGGCTCAGATGTGACCAGACCCAAGTTGGGCTCCTAAATTCCTCCCTGCCACAAAGCAGTCACAACAAAGACAGAAGGAAGTCACGTGAAAAATGTAGCTGGGACTCAGATGTGAAAACGCCCAGCTCCCAGTTTTCCAAGCAGCCCAACTGGGTTCTTAAGCCACAGTAATTCTGTCTTTGAAATGACCTCAGTGTTCGCAAGGGCTGTATGGTCCCAAGCTCTACTGTATAATCTGACAGCAGCATGTCATGGTCCCATTATCCAGAAGTTGACAAGGGACCAGGGGGCTTCCATGAACACTGCGCCACGCCCAGGGGCCGCAGGAGGACTCAAACACGCAAAGACCCTGGCAACTATGGAAACGAATGCAGTCGAGTACCGAGTGACATTCAAAAATGCATTCTTGTCTCATTTTTAAGAATACTCCTCCATGTGCAAATCACTATTCAGAAGCTTCTAGAATTCATGATAGCAACAACTAAAAATACACTATTAGTATAGTCTTTCCCTGGTACCAAAACTAACAACAATAACAGTAAAAATAAACCATTTGTAAAAAGGAGTTTTAAAAGCCATTTCTCATTCTTCTTTTATAGCCGAAGCAATTGTTAAAATGTTTCATAGACAAAATACATCCAGCCTGGTGCCGGTTGCTCACGCCTAGCTACTCAGAAGGCTGAGATCTAAGGATCATGATTCAAAGCCAGCCCAGACTAGAAAGTCCATGAGATCCTTATCTGCAATTAACCACCAAATAGCTGGAAGTGGAGCTGTGGCACTAGCCACAGGCTCAAGACACTAGTCTTGAGAGAAAAAAAAAGCTAAGTGATAGCACCCAGGCCCTGAGTTCAAGTCCTATGACCAGCATACATACAAAAAAAATTCTCCAAATGTCTCTGTTATTTTAGGCCAACAAAACAGACCCCTAAACAAAACTTTTGAGGAGCATGAAAGATTTGTCAAGCTGTAGAGAAGGCATCATCCCACCTTGGGTCCTCAGGCTCACCTCTGCAATCTCCACTTTTCTCTCCCACATCTTGATGGTCTTCTCTAGGTCCCCAATTAGGATCTTTTCCTTGACGTACATCATCACTGGTGGCGCCCGGAACTCAGCTAGCTGCCTCCTCAACTTCTTGTTCTGAGTCTCAGCACTGGACCTGTCCTGAGTTGGGAAGGGCAGATTAGCTCCAGGGAAATCGGGAGACTCCTGCTCAGAGGACGCTGTGGCCCTGGCATCTCTCTGCATTCCTAGTGTAGTTCTAAAAACAGTGTGTTTTGTTTGTTTCGGATATTTGTTTGTTTACAGATTATAACTTTTGTTTTGGTGATACTGGGGATTAAAAACCACTTGCTTGCACTCCAAGCAAGCACTCTACTACTCAAACCATGTTTCCAGGCCTTTCACGTTTGTTGTTTGTTTTTGTTTTTGTTTTTTGTTTCCTCAGATAGGGTCTTATACTTCTTATACTTCTGATCTCACTACCATCAACTCCTGTGTAGGTGGCATTAAGGCTACCATGCCCAGTCAGATTGCAATGTTTTAAAGTCAATGAGAATCACCAGCTTTTTCTTTCTCTTCACTTCCTTTCCTATCTCTACTTCATCCCAACCTTGTTTTGGTTTAATTTGGGCTTTGGTTTTATTAAGATGGGGTCTTGCTACATAGCCCAGGCTGTCCTTGAATTTACTATGTGACCCAGCTTGGCCTCAAACTCTTGACCCTCCTGTCTCTACCTCCTGAGGTTGAGGAAACAGGCCTATGCTACCATACTCAGCTTCCCTTTCCTGCATTCTTTCTTCCCTTTCTCCTTTACTAAGGAATATGCTTTACTTATGATTTATTTGTAAGAAAAAAGGTCTTTTTAACTTCACTTTAACTTCAGACCCATAAAATTTGCTACTTTTTTTGGTGTGTGCTGGCCCTGGGGCATGAATTCAGGGCCTTGTGTTCTTGCTTGGCCTTTTCAGTCAAGAATGGTACTCTACCATTTCAGCCACAGCTCTACTTCCAGCTTTTTGCTAGTTAATTGGAGATGAGTCTCAAAGACTTTTCTGGGCTGAGCTTCAGTCTCCCTTCCTCCCCCCCCCTCCACTTCCAGGAGGGCACCCATACTCTGTTAGAGTGTGCACCTGCCCTTCTGCTTGTCTTTTTGCCTGCCTGCTTGCTTACTCAATTAAGCTCTGCCAAGTTTTCTTACAAAAAAATTGTGATCTTCAGATCTCAGCCTCCTGAGTGGCAAGGATTATAAGCATGAGTCACCAGCATCCAGCTACTTGAAACACTTTTAAACATTAAATACATTCACACTGTAGTATAATCCCCTTCACCATGTGTCCCCAGAACTTTCCCTCTTCCCAAACTGCAACTCGGTCCCCATAAGCAATCCCATTCTCTACAGATCCCTTAAGGAACTTTTCACCTATAGTGAACATAACATTACTAGGTTGTAAGTCCAGCTTCTGATCTGATGGCTCAGAGCTATTTTGACTTTTGTGATCTCAGCTTCTCTGGGGAAATCATCAAGAATCTAGGAGGTTGGTAGATATACATGCAAGTGCTGTGTGCAGGAGACAGACATCAGAAATGGCATGTTTTGCCCTCTCTTACGTCCTCGGCCTGTAGGGTTTCTTTTTCAATTTTTTCAAGTAGTTCAGTTCTCGTTATGATCTCCTTGTCCAGGTTGATGTTCAGTTCCATTGCCCGGTAAAGCTTGCTCTGAAACACAAAGCTTCCATTAAGAGCTTGAGAGACAAGTGCACCAGGGGCTCACACCTGCTACTCAAGAGGCTGAGATCTGAGGATCAAGGTTCTGAACCAACCTGAGTAGAAAAGTCTAAGAGACTCTATTGCTAATTAACCAGAAAAAATGCTGACCTGGAGGAGTGGCTCAAGTGGTAGAGCACCAGCCATGAGCAGGCAAGCTGAGCAAGAACACAAGGTTCGAGGGAGGGAGGGGATGGTAGGGGGAAAACAATGGAGGGGCTAACAATGTTCAAGAGGAAGTGTACTCATTACCTCACTCATGTAACTGTAACCCTCTGTATAGTATCTTTACAATAAAAAAAAAAAACACAAGGCTCTGAGTTCTTGCCTCAGTAAAAGGATTAACAAAGAAACAAATTTGCCAGGTGCTGATGGCTCACGCCTGTAATCCTAGCTACTCAAGAGGCTGAGATCTGGGGACTGCAGTTCAAAGCCAGGCCTGGCAGGAAAGTCCATGAGACTCTCATCTTCAATAAACCAGAGTGGAGCTGTGGCTTAAGTGGCAGAGCTCTAGTTGAGAAAAAAGAAGCTCAGGGACAGTGCTCCAGCCCTGAGTTCAAGCCCCAAGACCAGCACAGACACACACACACACACACACAGAACTTGAAAAGGCACAGAGGAGTAGAGGGAGGAGAATCTAGGCCTGCCTGTGCACAGGAACTTAGGTCTTTGGAATCTTGAGGACTGAGAACTAGAGTGGTTAGACACATGTAGACCAAAATCCTGCCTCACTCTTATTAAGGACAACTTTAGGCAAGTCCTAGAACTTTATTAATACTGGTGCAGCCACTGTCTGGTAGGATTGTGGCCCTTCTGGTAGAGAACTAGACACAGTGCCTGACACATGAACCCTCAGCAGGTGCCATGACCACCTCTAGAGGTGGAAATTGTGGTGAAGGACCACCACAGGGTGGATGAGAACCCTTGGCCCCTTTACAGGTGAGAAAACTGACCCTCAGGGAGGTGAATCAATCGGCCAAAGATCACACAGATAGTAGGAGCCAGGATTTGAAGCCAGGCAGTATGATTCTGCTGCCCATGGGTCCAGCAGGGGCTGGAATTCCTCAGAAGCTGCCCTGAAGATTCTTTCTGCATCATCTGAAATTCCATCCCCCCCAACCCCCACCCCCGCCCCACCGCCGCCTTACATGGGAACAAACCCTGACCGTGGAGCTGTCAGCCTGTATCGAGTTGGGATGTGCTCTGCTTAGCTGAGGAATGGGCCAGTAGAAGAAGCTAGAGATTTTAGGGGGTTCATTGGTCCAACAAACCTTGAACACTATCCCACCCTTCACCAGGCACTGGCTAGTGGAAAAATCTAGGCCTGTCTCCAGGAGGCCAGCCTCAGCCCAGAGGTGGGGAGGCTGGCAAATCACTGCAGAAAAATTGTAGCAGCCTTACTGTGCCAAGAAGAGACTATGCCAAGGCAGTGGAGGAGGGGAGAGCTATTCTGTCATGGAGAG